GGGACCTACAACGGAATCCTAATTCGGAGTACTCCTTGTACGCTGATCACAGTACGGTCGCCATCAAGACCAGCAACAACAAGTCGTGCTTCAAAGTTCCACTAGCAAGGCAAACCATTGTTGAGGTGCAAGATGACAACACGGTTTAGGGTTTAGGGNNGGTTTAGGGTTGTGGGTTGTGGGTTTAGGGTTTAGGGTTGTGGGTTTAGGGTTTAGATGCCACCCAGAACTGCCTACTCAGGGCCTACTCCACCGAACCCGCAGCACAGAGTGCACGGGTTAGTCTTCAGAGTTTATGGGCCGGGGATCGTACAGTCCAAGCTCAAAGCAAAGGTAGCTCTGTGACAACACTGGCGCTACACCTGAGCAGCAGGATCGCGCGACCTCGAGACTTCGGGATTTAGATTACAACCATGGTGCCTTACTGTTGATGATACAAATCCTGCATTACCTTAAGGACCCTACTTTATGGTATGTTCGTTCATCAACCGTATGATGAAAGGCTTTTTGGCACGAGGCATCAGAAGACGTATGCCTTCAGGTCATTGCATTAGTATGTCAATGTCAGGGAAAGAGTCTCTCGCAGTTGGACCAGAGGGTGGCATAAAACACCGGCTGCAGGGCTTTAGAGTTTATATTCCGCAGAGCCACGGTTGAGGGTTTAGGGTTGAAGCTCCGAGTGAAGGTGACCCGAAATGAAAGTCTACGCACCAAGCTAGCCCAGCGGCAACTGCTGCTGCTGAAGCTGCTGCTGTTGCAGCTGCTGCTGCTGCATGGGCGTCAGCTGCTGTTGCGCCTGCTGCTGAGGGAACCTGAAGGGACGAAGATAGAAGAAACACCCCAACCCTCGACCCTGAACCCCAAGCCCTAAACCCTAAAGCCTAACCCGAAAGCCGAAACCCCAAACCCTATAAACCCTAAACCCTCGGGAAGAGCGTTTCGTTACGACTCTCCTTCACCACAAACCTCTGGACAACCCGAAGCCACGTACCACGCATCTTGAAGTGTTTAGGGTTTAGGGTTCAGGGTCCCATATTTAGCATTTTAGGGTTTAGGAGTTTAGGACTTATTATCGGATCATTTAGGACCCCTATTTAGTTTTAGGGTTTAGGATTTGTGGCTTAGAGGGACCCCTAAAGCTATAGACGCCCTACCACTGTGGGGTCGTTATAAGTCGTATCATGGGGTCCAAGCCCTCAGTGCCGCAACTCAAGAGCTCTGCTGATTCACGAGAAACTTGGCTACTGGCGTTTACCCCAACCCTCCAGATACCTGCTGTACAGGGCTCTGGGGGCTGTAGTGCCCTATATCGTAGGTACCTGGGGGGTTAGGGTAAGGGTTGAGGGTTCAGGGTTTAGGGGTTGGGGTATACGGCTGAGGGGAGGTCGCTGGTCAAGAGATCGATAGCTTGGGTGCAGATGAGAAGTAATGAGGCGTGCATGTGAAGGCCATCGGTCCACAGGTGTTCCAAAGAAACTTTCCTACACCCTCCCCTAAACCCTAAACCCTTAAACCCTAAACCCAAAAGACCCTAAACCCAAAACCCCTAAACCCCTGAACCCCTAAACCCCTAAACCCTACACCCCGAGTTAAGCCCGAACCCCGAAGCCCTCCCCCTGGGAAAACCTACGCCAACAACCGCTTTCTAAATTCGAAACATCGAACCCCCAAAGCCTCTCAACCCCCAAACCCTAACCGTAGTCCTGAACCTCAAACCCTAAACCCTAAGCCCCCAGACTCCTAAACCCCGAGCCGTAGTCCTGAACCTCGTAGCCCTTTACCTGCAATCTTCCCCCAACCCCCCAAACCCTCAACCCTGAAGCCTTGGGTTTAGGGCTTAGGGGTTTAGGGTTTTAGGGTTTAGGGTGTAAGAGTTTAGGGTTTAAGCTAACTCTGTGGAGGGTGGCAATTCATCAGGGGTCCAACATAGGATCCTTACCTTAACCTACCGAAACCTACGTTTTTGTAGGGTCCATATAAATTCCATATTAGGGTTTTCCATAAGAGCCACAAAAAAAAAGTAGTTTTGGAAGGTTAAGGTAATTGCTAGGTAACCTTTCTAGGCGGATGTACCACCGTCATCATACAGGACTGAAGGGTGACTGAATTTTGAATCACATGCTTGTGCACTGTGGAGATGTTGAGAACTGCCGCTGCAAACTTATGTTTCCAGCCCCTAAATCCTAAACTTAAACCGTAAACCGTAAACCCTGTTTAACCCAAAACCCAAAACCCCAAAACCCTAAGCCCTAAACTTAAACCCTAAACCCTAAGCTCTAAACCCTGAACCCTTAACCGAAAACCCTAAACCCAAAGCCCTAAGCCCTAAACCCTAAGCCCTGTTTCTAGTGCCGATCCGGAAATGGCGGCGCTTGAGGCTTAGCCTCTTGAGCTTCACAGG